TGCACCTGTGGCTCTCCACCTCCTACAGATGATGACTACACATAGAAGACACTTCCAATCAGGGCCCTGCCTACATTTCTACCATTCTTCCACTGCTGTCAGATACAACTATCTGATGGGCTGATGTGTCATGCAATTTCATACCTCCCTGCCTTCGTACATACCGTTACCTCCACCTGGGAAGCCCTCCATCTCCTGAGAAGTTCCTTCTCATTCTCCAGAGGTTACCTGGAACGTCACCTCCTCAGTGAAGACTTTTCAAATCCCCTAATGTGGTGGTTCTCAAGCTTTAGTGGCACAAGAATGCCCTGGAGGGCTTCTTAAAGCACAGGCTGTTGGTCCCCACCCTCTGCATGTCCGTTTCTGGAGGCCTGCTGTTGGAGCCAAGAATGCGCATTTCCAGCAAGTCCCCAGGTGAAGCTGCTGCTCCACTGAGAGCACACCTGCCCTGTGGCGGAGAGAGTGCACGGTGCCCCTGAGCCCCTTGCTCCTTCACCATCCTGCACACTCCTCATTACACGTTCCCACGGCAGGCTGGGCGCTCCCCAAAGACAGGGAACAAGGCAGCACTCAGTACACGGCTGCTAAACCGATGACGGACGGAGGGACTGAGAGATGAATGGGTTTAACTGAATTTATCTACACAAGCTTTTCTATCCAGGGTCAGGGCCTCATAAATGCCCATACCCACCCTACCCCACACCCACAATACCTTAAAAACATCATCTGTAACAGATTCCCATTCTACAGATAAGGTAAAAAGAAGTTCAAGAGTTCTGACCTTGTGTCAAAGGAGTTTTGAGTCCTAATCTAGTGCCCTTTCTGCTACCCGGACCCCACTGGCAATGTTTACCAAAGTGGCATTTAAAGAGTCACAACAGAATGCTTCTGAGCGGCACCTCTCAGAATCCAAACCTCTCCTTTCTTTCTTTTTCTTTCTCTCTTTCTCTCTCTCTCTCTCTCTCTCACACACACACACACACACACACACACACACACACACACTGATTTCATTTATAGAAAGTAGATGGAGGTGGTAAGAGAAATGGAGGAAGAAAGAAGAATCTAGCCTCACCCAGGGAGGGAAGGGCAGCAGCTCAAGTAGGGAAGACGCCATCAGAAAAGTACTAGCTCCCAAGGGGCAGTGTTTGAACTCCTGGCAGCCATGGGGTGCCTATAATTGAGGCAGAGAGGCAAGGGCACAAAAGAAAGGGGGCAAGCCCAGGAAGATGAGAAGCACGCTTTCAGAAGAAAATGAGAGACTAAGAGAGGAACAGGGGCCAGGGAACATCAGCTGGGAGGGGGTAGGAGGACAGGAGGAACGGCAGGCAACTGCTGAGCTGGCAGCGCAGGGCAGAGTCGGGGTGGGGGGAAGGTCAATGCCAGCAACAGCGCTCCACTCTGCCCTTTCAGCGGCGGCGGCGGCAGCAGCAGCAGCAGCAGCAGGCACAGGGATGAGCAACGGGCTTCTCTGGAGGCACAGTTGGGGGCGATGCAGCAAGGGACAGCAGGAGGACCAAAGTCAAAAGGTCTCTCTCTCTCTGCTGCTGCTGGTGGTAGTGCAAGCGCAGCTGCCCATGGTCCTAAAAACTCCTGACTCTGTAGGGCTGTTTTTCTGGTAGGCCCATGCTCATAAGCAGCTTGGGTCAAGCTGCAGCTCTGCTGAAGAGGGAAAAGTCAGCATTCCCACTCCACTGGCGTCCAGAGCCCGGACACTTCCTGAGGGAACTGCAGATCAGCCTCGAGGATTAGGCTCCACTGCTTCCCTCCCCCACCCGAGGCCCTGCCAAGGGAGGATCACAAAGCTGAGACCTCGGGATGCTGCAGAGCTGTCACATTCAATTCACCACACAGCCCCAGTGGCATTTAGGGGCAGGATGGATGGGAGCCCACCCCCACCCCAAACAGTGGGAGCAGCTAATGACTGGGTATTAATGATGCTGGCAATTAGCGCTCCCGAGAAAATGGCTGGGGGCTGCTCACCAGGGGGATGTGGGGGAAACAGAGCACACATTCAGAGCGGCGAGCAGATGGGTGGCGGGTGTGGCGCAGGGAATCTGGGCAAAGTTGCTGTGTCTTTCCGATTTGTCCAGAGAAATTGGGGAGGAGGGAAAGGATGGCTTCTACGGACACTGAAGGCCTTTCTGCCGCACCCTCCCCAGTACAAAACTGAGATTAATCACAAAGTGGGCAGTAAGAAGTCATTAAAAAGGTGTTTGCGAAGGTCCTGGAACCTTCCTTGCGAAAGGAGGCCTCAGAGGAACCCAGGTACAGTTATTATTCCTTTCCTTGCAGTTTAAAACCCTGGAGTAGTCGGATGATCCTTTTTGAAGAACCTAATTCCTCACCAAGAAGGTGGTGGAGAGGGGGCTGGAGGCATGTGCTCACCGGTAAACCCACAGAGAGAGAGAGCAAGCATCGGGATGAGATTTATTAGGAAGGTATCTCCATCTACAAGGAAGAAAGACACAGCTCCCTCGCCAAGCAAAGCCTCCTGGCCTCAAGGTGAGGACATTAAGAGGTAGACGACAATGACCCATGAGAGTATGTGCGGAAATTCTGGGGGACAGAAAAATGTGCAAAGGCCCATCATGGAGGTCAACAGCCTGCTGAGACGGGACCGCAGGTAGAGCTGAGGAAGTGTCTCGATCTGCTTGGGGCCTGCAGTATACCTGAGGAGCCACAAGGCACCCTCCTCTGCTGTTGCCATCGCTGGGCACACACAAAGGGACCCAGACAAAAGAGAGAGAGTGTGAGTAGAGCACCTACACACAGGAACTAAATGGCCTGATATTTCAGAAGAGATGTCAAAGAGATGAGCCAACACTGGAGGAGTGAGAAATAATACTGACCTCATAAATACTTTAGAGAGAGCAACCATGGCAAATGACTCCCTTCCGGATAGCAACCCAAATCAAAGGAAATCAATCTCAGCCTCCTCCTGATAGAAGACAATAGCTAACGCCTTGGCCACTTAGATCACAGAAGGGACAAGAGGAGACTGGAAAAAGCAAATATTTTCCTTTCTGAAAGACAAGGGTGCCTGGACGAAGGGAACCTCGCCCTAGAGAGAGGACAGAGGCCTCAGCACTGTAGCTGCTCAAAAGCTGGAGAGGAAAGGTGAGCAAAGCTCTGTCAGACCCTCCCACCCTGCTTTTTAAGTTCTGTCCATATGACAACAGTAGGTAAGAAAGCAAGGATCTATCACCAAAAAATGCTTTGAACCCTAAAAGTGAGTAAGAATTGAAGAAGGTGGTCCTGGCCAGGTGGCTCAGTTCGTTGGAGCATCGCCCCAATAGGCCAAAAGGCTGTGGGTTCGATTCCCAGTCAGGCACCTACCTAGGGTGCGGGTTCAATCCCCGGTTGGAGCACGTATTGGAGACAACCAATCAATGTTTATCTCTCATATCACTGTTTGATTCTGTCTCTCTCTCCCCCCTCCCCCCCTTCCTCTCCCTCTAAAATCAGTAAACATATCCTCAAGTGAAGAAAAAAAGAATTAAAGAAGTTGTTATGGGCTGAATTGTGTCCCCCACAAATTCATATGTTGAAGCCATTACCTCAGAATGCGATTATATTTGGCGGTAGGGCCTTTAAAGAGGTGACTAAAGAAGAAAAGTTAAAATGAAACTGTAAGGACGGGCTCTAATGCAGTCTGACTGGTGTCTTCATACACAGGAAATTTGGATGTACAAAGAGACAGCAGGGCCGCACGTGTACAGAGGAATGACCACATGAAGAAGCAACAGGCAGGCAGCCGTCCACAAGCCATGGGGAAGAGCCTCAGCAAAACCCAACCGCACTGGCGCATTGGGGCTGAGACTTCAAGCCTCCAAAATTTAAGAAAATAAATGTGTGTCCTTTAAGCCACCCACTCTGTTGCATTTTGTTATGGCAGCTTGAGCAAACTGATACAGAAGATAATGTGACAAGGGAAAAGTGGAGTGGAGGTTAGGTAAAAACCCACACTAATCTGAAGAGAGGTCCTGGCCAAGGAATGTTAATTATTTCAAATATTTGGTGAAGATAGCCAATCAACATCAACTGATTGAGTTGATTGACTGGAATGTAGAGGAGTCACCCTTAAATCTTAGAATCTAAATATTTTTAAAGTGCCGATCCCTTTAACTACACTGAATTATTCACTTTAAGGCCACCTATCACCAAATCTTATGAACAAAATAGAAAACACATGGCATGTCCACAATTACTATTTACCTAATGATCTCAGAGTGCCCCACATCTTGAATATTCCATTATTCTATCCCATTTTGAGTTTACTGTAGGCCCAGAAACCACCAGGAATGTCACAGAGGGAGTCAAGAGCTGAATGCTAAGCCCCTTTTGACTTCCTAATTTGTTACTGGAAGCTGAAGGAAGGAAGGATGGAAATAAATTAAAAAACAAATCTTAGGGATCGTTTTGGGTTTTCGAGACAAAAATCCATCCCCAACAGCAAGCGCACCCAGACCATGTTGGCTGATTGCGTGCTCAAGTGAAGAGCATAGGGGTTCCAGGGCTCTATTTCTCAGGCAGGAGAGCCCTGGACCAAATTTGTAACCTCAGAAACAGCCAAGACAATAAATCAGGAACACGCTACATCTCTTGTGGCCAAGGAGACATTTGGAATATCTGTATGAACTGACACATGCAAGGGATATGCCCAACTCAAGTAAGCAGCTGTGAGTGGATCATCAGGAGCTGGAAAAAAAAGAGGAGTGGGTCTGGCATTTGACAATGGGCAGGCAAGGACGTTTCCCTTCTGCATTAACCGTCCTTCCTCTGAGAGCACAGCTCACTGTGCTGCCCCTGCCCGGCTCACTCTAAGTCTGGAGCTCAGCTGGCCCACAGGGGCAGCTGGGGCTGGGTTGAAAGAGCCAGCTTCCTACAGAACATTGAGTTCATTCAATGATCATTACCAGAAGATGACACAGGTGATCAAAGGAATATTCCATAGCCCTGCCCGCCCACTTCACAACTGTGCCAATAACGGAACTCACGTCTGTGGTTCTCATTTCTGTGGTTGGGCGGGGACCGGGTCTCCTGGTCTTGGGCTTCATCCCCCTCCTCGCTGGCCAGGTGAGTGTGAGCGTAGTGGTAGCTGAGTCCTGGCCGGTTCTTGTAGCGCTTGCCACAGACTAGAGAGGAAAAGAGGGAAGAAAGGAAAACACAAATGTCAGCACTCGCTGTGGCGACTGCCATCATTCTCTGAAGTAGTGACTCTCATCGACCCATCCCAGAGCTGGGTTTCCTTTAAAAAGTATTTCCCAGCCCCAGTCCCTTCCATTCTGGACAGAACCAACATCACTCTAACAACACGGGCTCACGTAAGGAAATACCAGGATAGCAGAAGATGGAAGTTATGACAGAGCTCCCGCATTTCCTAGCTTGATGTCCCCAGGCAAGTCGCTTACGCTCTCTGTGCCTCAGCTTCCTCAGAGGAAAAATGTAGTAACAGTACTTACCTCATAGGGTTGCTGGTGATGAATTAATCTCTATGCAAAGCATCAGAACAGTGCTGGGACATGATAATGTCGATGATAACTCTGAAGTTTGGACAGGGAGTCTATTCGGGCCAACAGTTCATGGCACAGATGAGGCAAGTGAGGCCCAGTGAGGCTAAGTGATTTGCCTGGGAACATAGAGCTAGTTGTGGCAGAGCCACTAGAACCCAGGTCTCCGGATTCCCATGCAGCACCGTGCCCACCATCCTGTGGGGGGCTCTGCATTTTGCACCTCTAGCTATGTTGACTCCCAAAATTGAACCGAGGGGTTTTGCTGCACGAAACTGGACAAGACACATGATCTCTCTGTGCAGTCTCTCTTATTTGAAAATGAGGGTACTACTTACCTTGAAGGATGGTTAACGGGATTATAAATAATATTTTAAGCTATCTCACTCAGTCCCCGGCACATAAAAGATGCCCAATAAATGGCAGGGAGGGGTGAGAGCTTTCCTTCAGCTTGGTCTGCCATGCCATTAGTGCTGCGCCCTCTTGAAAGAGGGACTACAACCCTTGCCTCACACTGACAGAAGCTGGTTGGACTTAATAAGGTGAGAGTCTGAAATTCAAGCCGCTGATCTGGTGACTATAAATTCAAGACCTACAATTGGCTACTTACATTCTCTTCTTTTCCCTCTCCCTATTATAAATATTGGGAAAAAAAATTAAATGGCATTACACATCCGAGTTCCATTTGACTCAGGAAGTGGGACCTAAAGAGGTCCCTGAGGCACACTCTGGGCCTGCTTGTGGCTTCTTCTATTTAACATTTTAAATGATGTGAGGTCAATGAACAGCAAGTGATGGGGTCATTAGATATAAGTCCATTTCATCACCAAGTATGCTGTTGGTAAGGAATAAATGTTTATTAAAAATAAAATGATAACACGAGTATTTAGGTGAGAAAGCCTCAGGGCCTCTGCTGATCTCCCCACTGTAAACTCCACAGCACTGCATTTGTGCCATTTTGTTATGTCAATTACCACCGTCTTCCTTAATCACAGAATTTCAGGACCTCAATAGTCATTTGGTCTGGTTATCTATCAAACTGAATAATCCCCATGAATACTCTAGAATCCTGTCCTGGAACAATTTCACGTATGAGGAAACGACTACCCATCCCAGTAGGCACTTCTTCTTTGGACTCCTTGAATTCGAGTTATGTCTGTACGAGAGAACCTCCCTTAAGGAGAGTTTCACACTGATTTCATCTTATCAATGACGCCACCTCCTATGTAGCCATGCACACATCACACTTTCAGAACACGGGTGCTGAGAAGCGGATGCACGCACACAAACACTCTGTGGGAAAGCCTGGAGAGGGAAGGGGAGGTGAGTGAGTTGAGTCTGATCTATCTGCCCACATTAATCTCACACTAACAATCCTTGAAACCTACAAAACCAAACTCAAGCAGAAGCTTCCCACATCTCCTTTCCTAACACCATAGAGGGTAATTACTTCTAGAGCAACACTTTTTGCTACAAGAGATTCTCAGAGTGGTTCCCAGACCAGTGCCATCGGCATCACCTGGGAACTCGTAAGAAATGCAAATTTCTGAGCTCTGTCCCAGACCTACTGACTCAAACTCTTTGGGGTGGAACCTGGCAATCTGTGTTTTAACAAGCCCCCTAGGTGATTCTGCTGCATGCCGAGGTTTGAAAACCACTGTGCTAGAAGGTTGATATATTTAGGCTTGGCTCTGCCTGCCCTGCACACACCTGTCCTTTTGAATGGATGGCGAGCAGGTGAGGACAGTGAGAGGCAGTCCTGAGACCTGTGTTCAGCGCTTAGAAGAAAAAGAGCCAGGCAAGCACACATGGATGTGCTGGGAGCCAGACCCCTTGCCCATGGTCCTAATACCGAGCTCTCCAAAAGGAGCTTCATCCCCCTCCCCACCTGCTTAGACCATGTCATTCCTTCCTCACCAGTACTTCAAGAAAACATTTATTAACCACCTAGTAGGTGCCCAGCTCTGTGGCACCAGAAAATATATATACAAATGAGCCTTCCTCTCCTCCCTCGAGGGGGGGTTTGCAGTCTAGCAGAGGAAGCCTACATGACAAGGAAGGAAGGAGGCGAGAAAAAAATCACCAGTGAGCATGTGCCCTACACACAGGGCACGCCCAGGGGCTCAAAGGTAGGGGAGCAGCTTCCTGCAGGAGGTGAGATGAGCTGTGGCTTGTGAGGTTGAGGAGGATACCACCAGGCAGACAAAAAGGCAAGGGCTTTCAGACACCAAAGCACGTTCCACACAGCGCTTCTACAGAACCCCAGGAAATTCAGGAGAGCCAGTATGAAAAGGGATGGGAGACTGGGCATGAGGGGAATTAACAAAGAGAGGAAGCAGGGCAGGACTTTATCCTGAAAATGTGGAGTCAGGTGAGGATTGCACCTCAAAAACCAACTTCATCAGATGTACCTATTAAAAACCTCACTTAAAACGACAGTGCACAGATGGATCTGAAGGTGGCAAGAGGCTGTTGTAATTTTTATTTCCTTTGCTTGAATCAAAGATATTTATTCTTTTGCTAAACACAACAACTAATTTCTATCTACAATTTTTTTGAAGACTTATTTCTTTTTAGAGAAAGGAGAGGAAGGGAATCATTAATATCAAAGAGAAACATTGATTGGTTGCTTCTCACACGCCCCCAACCATGGACCTGGCCCATAACCCAGGAATGCGCCCGGACCAGGAACTGAACCAGCAACCTTTCATTGTGAAGGCCGACGCTCAATCCACAGAGCTGCACCAACCAGAGCTACAATTATTTTTTAAGACGAAAAACAAGGCAACTGAAGTAACCACACTGGCCTTGAGCTGTGGAATGCTGTTACACTTTGACACTTGGCTTAAACACAGAGCCGTGGATGGGGCCACAGCAGCATGGATGCAGGCAGCAGGCCTTCTCCACCAAGGCTCTGCAGCGCCCCACACACAGCTGGCACACGGTCTCACAGTCGGACTCACTCCCCTAAGAGAGGTCTTCAATAATAAGTTGGTTTTGTAGATCCTAGTTGCCAAGTAGTTCAATTTTACCTTTGCTGTTTTTAACTTGGTTACTTATTCTAGTCAAGTCTCTCAGAATGCTTTCATCCATACAGAGAATATAATCAAATGGGGCAAAATCTTTAGTAACCTGCCAGGTAACATGATTCATGGGAACACTATGCTTCTTCATGCAATTCTTCCCTCAATGAGCAAGGGGTTTCCTATTTCATCCGTGGATGTTGCTGCACCATCCATCCTCCAATTATCTGAAACATTTTGATCAGTTATAAGTTTTCTGAAAACTGCTCCTGCATTGAGTGATAGATGTAACCTAGACACACAAGCAACTCAGACTTAAGCGCCTGCTGGGCCACCTTCCTTTGCAAATACCGAGGTACCCAGTGATAGAAACTTTACTGGCACAGCACATGTGCACTGCAAGTGTTGGTATTTTCATTCTCTGTGTGCAACACTAAGGACTTCAGGATAGGAGAGAGGTTTAAACAGAGAGAATTCGGTACAAAGGAGTCAGTAAAACAGCAAGGAGGAGCCTAGAAAGACTAACACAGCCTCCCTGGCCATGTGCCATGCAGCCCCACCCACCTCCCCAGCCTCATCTGATGCCACATTTCACCCCCTTCTCGGCTTTCCCCTCCTGCCCCTGGACTTCTCGTTTCTTTTAATGTTTTCCTTTCCACCACAGAGCATTTTCACAAGCTTTTCCCTTTCTGTCTAGACTGTCTCCCACCCCAATTTGCCTGATTAAGGCTTCATTATCCTTTAGATCTTGTTTCATATGTCCTTCCCTAGGGAAGTCTTTCCAATCAAAATTAGGACGTTGGTTCGTTACCCTCCTAGAACTAATCATGTATCAATACATGTCTCTCCTGTGGGCAGGAAGCACGGCAGGCCCTGTGAGTTCGCACACTGTTACACCCCCAGGGACCGGCGCGGGACCCGCCTCATGGCCAGCACTCAATGTTGGCTAAGGGGAGCAATCAAAACAGCCAGGCTTCTGACGTGGGCAACTGGGTAAGAAGATGCAGGAAGAGTATGAGTTCAGTCTGGGGCTGGCTTACATACTGGATCTTGGGAAAGATTTATGGATTTTGAAGCTGGCAGGGTAGCGATGTAAGTTACTGATATGGGGAGATTACAGAGAAGAGATGAAAGCTGTGAACACATGATAGATTTCAGAAAACACTGGCATCTTAAGAGCTGGATGAAAAAAGAACTGACTTTTAAAAAGTTAGTTAAGAAAGACTCACAACAGTGAACAGGAAGGAGTAGGGTTTCCAGATGACTGTACCAATACCACCACTCCTGGCCATCACTAACTGCTGAGTGTGTGCCGTGTGCCATGTGCCAGGCCTGATCCAGAGCTTCAAGCAAACAATCTACTCACAGCAATCTTCAGCTCCGTCCTACACATGAGCAGACTTAGGCACACAGGCAACGCCAGAACAATAGCAGATGGCTAAGACGCATTAAAAAAAAAAAAAAAGTGGGGATTGCCCTGGCTGGTATGGCTCAGGGGGTCGGGTGTCGTCCACAAACTGAAGCGTCGCCAGTTCGATTCCTGGTCAGGGCACTTGCCTACGTTGCAGATTTGGTCCCCGGTTCGGGGCATGGGCAAGGGGC